GACTTCTACACATGGTTGCAAGAACGGTCGGGTCTACGTTCCGGAGCCACTCGTCACCTACGATGACCAAGTACCACCTTCCAAAGGGACTCCACAAGCAGGTCCAGACGGGGGGTACAACAACTCGTACACATCATAAATTAAATTCCAGTATAACTATATAAGGTTTTTTAATTATTTTATAAAATAATTATATAAATCTAAGGCCGTGGCAACTTTTCCACTTTCTCTATATAGTAACAGAACCCACAATTTCAACCTTTTCGACTCACCGCTTAGATGTTGCAACCACCAAAAGGCAATCTTGAATGGATGCTCATTTTGACTAGCGAGAATAGTGGCGTTAATTATGGGATATCACTTGAGACATTATTGAGTTTGTGACACACTGCATATCTTGGAAACAAAACAGTTCAATTTTGATATCATAGCACAAACTAGTAAAACTGCCATTTACAAGAATTTAATAATTTCCTCGTATACGCAGTACTTTCGCTTTTCTGGAGTAAATATTTTTAAAGTTTATATAAGACATTAACCACTACATTATATATATAATACATAAATATACTTAGCAACTACAAAAAAAAACAAGCACTTAGTTATTTGCGATTTTATTAAGTATAAAAATGAAAAAATTTATGCGTTTTACAAATATTCATCCTTTTATGGATTTATAATATATTAGGAATGAGCACACGCAATTTCACTTCGAAAAGAAAAACGCCTTTATGCTTTCTTTTCTTCTTCAATTGCTTCCTTACTTGGTAATTGATTTTTCTCACACGTTTCAGTATGTTTCAATTTAGATGGATCAAAATTTTCAATTCCAGTTATGAAATTAATCTTCTCCTTTTCTTGTGCAATAACTGGAAAAAATACAATTTATATACACAACACAAAATTTATATTATATATGTTTAATAATCAATTACAAATGCAGATCACATATATATAAAGATAGATACACCGCATTTGCAAATACTTCAGTAGTAGTTTTACCTTCACTATTTGGCAACGGATTTTTTTCATTGGTTTCAGTGTGTTTCAATTTAGACTGATTAAAGGATGCAATACCAGCACACAAGGATTGTTGGGTTTTTTCTGCGGCGACATCTAATCATATTCATTTTTATCAAACTTTCTTCATTATTCAATATTTAGTTTTCTTACCTTGAGCCGAAGGCAATATAATTTTTTCCTGAGTACTTGCATTTTTTAATTTTTCCGTGTTAAAACCCTCGAGTTGACTTTTTAGATTTTCAGCTACTTTAGGAAGATCTTTTAGTGCAGGAGATGCCATTGTTTCTGTATATATATTTTATACTTTTTCCCCAAAGGACTACAAATAAACAGCATTTACTTAAATGAATATTGAAACGGGATTATAATATAACACAAATAAATATTAAGAAAATACATTTAAATTTAGGTTATCTGGTTTAATTTTGCTATTTGCATTAGCTCAGACAAAATACTTCTACAAAATAGTATGAATCACAGTTGAATCATCAGTTAAAGGCCTATACCGGTAGAATTACCAATTCAATTCAATCAAAATATGCAAACTCTTGTTAGAAACGTAAAACAAAATGTCGTTTAATTCCCCTTATGCTGCAGAAAATGCAATTCCACTGAATGTGCAGATATGCTTAGTAGAATGGAAAAAATTGTTAACGTCGAAATCAGTGAACTGCTGAAGAACTAATTTATGTATGTACTTACATATTTGTTTTCAGACTATATTACTTTGCATATTAATTATAATATATGCACCTCTTGTTGTTCCCCCCTTTTACATTTCCAAATTGGAAAATAAAATTAACTTATTACAACTTACAAAAAAAAACTTGCAATGAAACAATATGTACTCTCACCATATATCAATTACAAACGCCGACCACTCCTATCAAAGGACTACTCAGAATTAAAGAATGTATAACTTGGATACCAACTCAAGCTATCAACACAGATATGTTGACCAAAGAACACAATAGAAAAGGAAAACTCTATTATAAGCTTTAAAATGAATTTTGATGACAATTGGTTTAAGATTTAACCTGGCAGCTACATGTGCAAGTAGTTGGAGACAGTTGCATAGTGGTTTTGTTATGAAAAATGCGTGAAAAAGTATATAATTGTAGTGGTTTGTTATGTTGGGTTTTATTTCGAATTTAACACTCCGTATTGGTAATGGATAAGTTAATTTAACACTCCGTATTGGTAATGGATAAGTTTATTTATTTCTTATACTTAGTTATTATAAAATATTCTTAAAGTTAAGATTTGTGTTTTTACGTTTTATTCACGTGCTGCTTTGTCTTTTTCCAAACTACTACTGTCGGGAACTGCGGCTATTGTTGTCTCCTTTGTGCCTTGTTGACAGTTCTTTTATTTATATTTTTTGGTGCTGCCACAGTACTCCCCCCTAAGTGATGGAGTCACTGAATTTGGTTGGAAAGCGAACGTTGCGTCCTGATTTTGTCAGGTTAGCTGTTGTATTTGGTCGCACAGACTGGTCGCCATTAACGTTGTTTGGAATGTGGTATACCATTGATTTGTTGTGGATGTCAATGTCTGTATCGGGACATATGAAAGCAGCTTTAAGACGATCTATGCTAACTGTTTGTTCTTTGTTTTCGATCAGTATTCTAAACGTCTTGTCATTTCGCTCTAGTATTTGGTAAGGACCATCGTAAGGTTGCGTCAATGGTGGTTTTACCTTGTCATTTCGTATAAATACATGCGTGGCTGAGCTTAGATCCGGTTGGATGTGGTAGCCTCGGTCTATATGATGCGATACCAACGTTGCCTTGACGCTCTGCATTTGTTCTCTTAGCTTGGTTATGAAATCGTGTTGATTTATATTTCTGTGGCTAGGGTTGCTTACTATTTCGCCCGGTAAACGTAGAGTTTGGCCATATAGCATTTCAGCAGCAGAAGCTCCAATGTCTGGTTTAAAAGTCGTGCGTAGACCTAACAATACTATTGGTAAAACTTCTGTCCAAGAAGTTGTTTGGTGGCACATTAAGGCTGCTTTTAATGTGCGGTGAAATCGTTCCACCATTCCGTTACTTTGAGGATGGTAACTCGTAGTTCGTAAGTGTTTGCAACCGATAACTTCAGCTAGTTGGTTGAACAATGAAGATTCAAATTGTCTTCCTTGGTCTGTTGTGATACGTAAGGGTACGCCAAAACGTGCGATCCATTGAGTAATCAGTGCGTTTGCGATGGTTTCCGTTGTTTGATCTGGGATCGGAATTGCTTCTGGCCATCGGCTGAAACGGTCGATGATGGTTAATATATATGTGCAGTTGTTTGATGGTGGTAGCGGGCCGACGATGTCTATGTTTATATGTTCAAATCTGTGTTCAGCGAGTTCATATTGACAAATAGGTGAACGGTTGTGACGTTGCACTTTAGAACGTTGGCATGGGATACATTGTCGGGTCCAGTTTCTGATATCAGCATTTATAGAAGGCCAGAAAAATTTTTCAGCTATCATTTTTGTTGTGCCCCGAATGCTGGGATGAGACAACCCATGCGTAGCTTTAAAGATATGTAGCCGGTATTTCTCCGGAATGTAAGGACGAATTCGCCCAGTTGAAACTTCGCAATAAATTTTATCCGATATTGTTGGTAAAGATAAAAGTTTGATTTCGATGGAATTGTTGTTTTTGATATCTTGTAGTTGTGGGCAACATCGTTGTAATCCAATTATACAATCGTAGTCGATTTTTGGGATGCTAATACTATCTATCCGCGAGAGAAAATCTGCTGGGATGTTGTCTTTTCCGCTGACATGAACGATATTCGTTGTAAATTGACCTATATAATCAAGCTGACGGACTTGACGTGGTGAAGCCTTGTCGGACTTTTGCTGGAATGCGAACGTGATTGGCTTGTGGTCAGTTATTAATACGAATTCACGACCTTCTAACATATGTCGAAAATGTTTTATGCCCTGATATGCGGCTAACAACTCACGATCGTATGTGCTGTATCGTTTTTGTGTATCTGTTAATCGTTTAGAGAAAAAACCGAGTGGTTGGAACGTGCTGTCTGTCACTTGATGAAGAACTGCGCCGAGAGCTTTATCCGAGGCGTCTACTTGTAATGCAAGCGTAGCAGTTTTTGACGGATGAACAAGTAGTGTCGAGTTTGTTAGTTCATCTTTACATTTTTGGAAGATTGTTTTGTTCACTTCGGTCCAGCATAACGGTGTGTTGTCGTTCTTCCTGTTTCCTTTTATCATTTGTTGAAGTGCAGTTTGAGAATCTACAGCGTTTGGTACGAACCTGCGATAAAAGTTAAGTAATGCTAGAAATCTTCTTAATTCTTTTGTTTTTGTTGGAAGCGAGTACTCGCTGATGCTCTTCACTCGATCTGGTAGAGGTTGAATGCCCTTTTCACTGATGAGATAACCAAGAAATTTTACTGTGTTTTGAGCAAAAACGCATTTTGATACGTTTATTATTAAACCATGTTTTCTGAATCGTTCGAATACTTGTTGCAAGTGTTGCCTGTGCTCTTCCTCGTTTGCTGATGCAATAATGACGTCGTCAATATAGGCAAAGGCGAATTCGAGATCTCGTAATGCTTCGTGAATGAAGCGTTGAAATGTTTGACCTGCATTGCAAAGTCCGAATGTCATGTTAGTAAATTCAAATAATCCAAATGGAGTTATGATCGCCGTTTTTGGAATATCCCCCGGTTCAACTGGTATCTGGTGATATGCCTTAATCAGGTCGATGGTTGAAAAAACTTTTTGGTTATATGTATAACATGTGTGCAAAATCATGTATGTGAGGAACTGGGTAACGATCTGGGATGGTGATTGCATTTAAGCGACGGTAATCTCCGCAAGGTCTCCAACTACCGTCTGGTTTTTTTACCATATGTAAGGGGCTAGCCCAATTGCTGCTTGATGGACGGCATATTCCGGCTGTGACCAAGTTTTGGAATTCTTCTTTTGCTGCTGCTAGCTTGTCTGGAGGTAACCTACGTGGTCTCTCACATATTGGTGGACCTTTTGTTAATATGTGGTGAGTGACTTTGGTCACCTGGCGATTTGTCGGTGTTGGTTTAGTGATGTCGATGTATTCTTTTAGTAGATCTGCAATTTTGCAAGATGTGTTCACAGTTGATATTTTTTGCGCATTTACCTTACGTTCACTTGCGGCTGAGAAAATCTTTGTTGATGTGTCGATCAATCGTTTCATTTTTATGTCTACTATTAATCCGAAATGATTTAAAAAATCTGCACCGATGATTGAAGTGTTTACATCTGCGATAATAAATGGCCATGTGAAATTTCTTCGTAAGCCAAGAGCTAGAGTTATCTCTATTTCTCCAAATGTTTTGATCATAGAACCATTTGCTGCGTAGAGTATTCTTTCGTTCTTATTGTTTGTATTTGAATTTTTTTGTTTGGCGGCAATAAGTGAAACATCTGCACCCGTGTCTATTAGGAATGATTTTTTTGTCTTATTGTCATAGACGAACAGTCTTGTAGATGTTTCGTTTACAACTTCCTCTGCCGCCGTAGACGAAGTCGGTTTTAGTTTTTTGTGCCATATGTGCATGGCTGCTTGCAATTTTTTGCATTTGACCCATATGTTCTATGATACCAACAATTTGTACTGGTCTTTTTTTCACTATCATCATGACATTGCCGGTTTCTGGATGTTGAACGTGAACGTTGATTTGTTCTTGAGCGGTGTTCGGTTGATAATTTCGAGACCATTTTCGTCAGTCTGGTCACTTCTCGTTGAAGTTGTTCGATTTGTGCATCACGTTGAATATGAGCTGCTGCAGGGACGTTAGCTGCATTGACGTAAGTTCCTTGCATTGTTGAGTTTATACTTATTGTTTCGGTTATGTTGTCTGCCAATTCCGCCATCTTAGGTAGTTCCACTTGAATTGTGGCTAGACATGTCTGTACTTCTACAGGAAGACGTTGTAACCATAACCCTTTCAGTAATTGTTCGTCTTGTTTGCTTCCACTAATACGTTGCAATTCGCTTAAAAGATGGGATGGCTTTTTATCCCCAAGCTGTAAACCACTAACTAATTTTTGTATGCGTTTTTGTTCACTATCCGCAAAGTTTTTTATTATTGCTTGCTTGATAGCTTCGTACTTCTGAGTTGCTGGTGGATTCTGTATTGTGTTATAAATTTGTTCTAACAGCGATGCATCCAATGCTGCGATAACTGTGCCAAACTTTTGAGTATCGCCCTTTATGTTGTTGACTTGGAACCAGTAGTCCAACTGAATAAACCAAAGGTCAATGTTGTTTTTTATTAATGTTGGCATCGGCAGCTTTATTGCAGTGATTGTTGCGTTTTCATTGATTGGGTTAGTGTCTTCGGTTATCTTTTGCTCTTGAGTAGCCATTTTTTATATTCGACGTCGGCTTGGTCACCAATGTAGTGGTTTGTTATGTTGGGGTTTATTTCGAATTTAACACTCCGTATTGGTAATGGATAAGTTAATTTAACACTCCGTATTGGTAATGGATAAGTTTATTTATTTCTTATACTTAGTTATTATAAAATATTCTTAAAGTTAAGATTTGTGTTTTTACGTTTTATTCACGTGCTGCTTTGTCTTTTTCCAAACTACTACTGTCGGGAACTGCGGCTATTGTTGTCTCCTTTGTGCCTTGTTGACAGTTCTTTTATTTATATTTTTTGGTGCTGCCACATAATATAATTGGTGATGTAACTTAATTGAAACTTAATAAGTCGAACTGGTGTTAATTAGCTCATTCAATTGCACAAAACATTTGTTTGATAAAAAAAATACATTAAATAATTTTTATTAAAGCATACATAAACAATTTAAAATAACAAAATAGGCTAATATTAATAAAATTATATTAAATAATTTTCCATAACACTGGTATTAATTAATTAAAAAAAAATCAGAAGCTATTAACGAAATAAATTTATTGAAATAAAATAACTAAA